TAAGGTTGTAAAAAAAAAACAACCAATTAGACAAGGAGAAATTTCTTTATCAACATAAAGATGAAAATATGTATTGCACTTTCTCTCTCTCTCTCCCTTCCCACAAATTTTTGGCAAACCCCAATGACCAAAATAAAAAGTATCATCCGAAATGGAAAAAAAATTGACTCAAGATTCATTCAACCAACAACGATCATCCTGGATGGTGGCAAATCAATTAGTTTGTTTTTTTTTTTTATTTCCTTGGCATCTTTCAAACTCAAACAAAAAAATTGTTTTCATGCTTTAGCAAAAAATCGATTTTTGCATTAATTAGGTGACCATCAATTGTCCTTTGGAATTTTTCCAGCATTCTGAATGTCTTTATTTCCTTTTTTGTTTCCCTGAATAATAAGAAATCATTTATCATAAAAAGGTTCTGTCGTCTATATTGTTTCAAAAAAGTTTAATCCGTCTTCCAAATATAAAATTAAATTGCACACACACACAACCTCGTTCACCATTTCTAATAAAGGGGCTCGTTGAATTACCCCCTTGCCTTATTTCCTAAATAAATATGTTTCTCAAAACATCGTTTTTGCAAAACAATTTTTTTTTTCTATTTGGGCGCTGTCAACACCAAGAGAAAATAATTTTTTATAGTCCTGAATCCAATTCTTTAATCATATTTAAAAATACATAAATGATGTCCTGATATTTCAATATTTAGCCCATCATATAACGTCTTAAAACTACCTGGGTTTTTATTAGTATATCGACTATAATCTAACAAATTAAGCTGATCTAAAAAAAACCTAGATGTTAAATTTGATAGGCTGGAGCAATAAAAAAAATTCTTCTTTCTTTTTTTTTTTCTTTCTTTAGAAAAGCCCTTTACCTTCCATCAGCATTTTATCATTCTCCCCCAGGAGGGTGACTTTTTTTATCCATTTTTTTTTTGTTTGTTTCTTTCTTTTTTAACTTCCCCTGAAAATCAAAAGATTATATTGAATCAATTTCTATCCAAAATTTAACGTTATTTCACTATTCGTGCAAAGATATTTTTTCTCTTTCATTTTTTTTTTAAATCTATCTTATAATTTTTATGAGTCTACCATTCATCTATACATTGAAAATTGGGAAGACATCTGGTCTTGTTTCTGCATTTATTGAAGAAATTCTTTGATAAAATACAAATAAAATAATTTTTTTTATTGGTCATAACCTGGTATTTTAATCTTCAGTCCATTTCTTGACTTCTTTAACTAGTTTTTCTGTGCATTTTTATATAAACATTCTCAAAATTTAAATTTTCTCTTCTTGGATTTCCAATTCTGTATAAGCTTTTTCTTTGGAATAAAATTCATTCTACGATTTTAAACCATGTTTGTTTCATCATTTTTTAAAGTTGAAATTCTTGACAATTCAAGATCTTGTTTGTTATGTTCTTTAGGGTCTTTGCTTTCTAGTCAAGATATTTTTTAAATTTAAATGTGTATCAATTCCATTTTTTATTGTTGTCTTAATTCATTTTCTGTTTTTTTCTCTTTTGTTTTTTTTTTTTTCATATTTGATTTGAACTCAATAACAGTCTTTATTTTTCTTGTGGTCGTAATTTTATTTTTCTTATATATATATTTATATATATATATATATATTTTTTTATATTTCTGACATAAATAGATAAATTATATTATAAATAGATAAATAATGCCAGTTCTATTAAAAATCTAAAAATTCATTTTGATAAGTTCCATTGGTTTAAAATTATTTTTTTCTCCAAATTTGGATCTTTCAAAGTGCTTTGGCCTTTTTTTACTTTTGATGTTTAAAGTAATCTTACTGACTTATTCATGAAGCAGAATTGACCGCTTGAATTTGAAATCATCTCGTCCCATCAGTCCAGCTTGGATAAATGGATATGTAAGAAAAACTATTTTAGATTAATATTTTTTTTTTAGATCTTTCAACCTTTAAAACTATTTTTTTATATAATAATTTATATATAGGATATAATCTGCTTCCTCATATAAAACGTGTAATGAACCCATAGATGGGTCTTTTGATTTTTTCATAAATTCCGTAAATAATAAAAGGTATTTGCGCGTAAAATCGGTTCAATGTTTTGGTCTGAAACTTTATTTAAAGGCTTGACTCATCCAATTTCAACACCGCCTTATCCATTACTCCCTCGGAATTCAGTCAAATTATCTTCACCTTTATTCCCAAGCGTTCAATCTCAATCTTTTGTTTAACCGTGGGTTTATCGTACAAGAATCGGTTTATTTCAATTTGATATATTCCTTTTCATTTCTTTTATATGCCGTATCAAATTCAGGACGTTGGCGATTATAAGGGTTTTTTTTTCTTTAATTTCGCTGTTCTGTCAATAAGTTTTGTCTTTTCATCAAATGTGTCTCAAAACCTATTCTAGTTTATTTTCTCAACCCTTCAAGTATGTTCCAACCTGTTTTCTTTGTCCCTCTTTTTGCCTTTATCTGTCCTTTGGTAACAGATTTTTTAAACCCTCCTTCCTCATTTTATTCTCCCATAAATTTTTTTGCCACTTTTTTGATGTTTTATATATGTTTCCTCTTCATCGTTCATCCATTCTCTCCAAAAACCTGAAGAAAAACAAATATTCGGTCCAGGAGTTTGTTCTTAGTACAAGATTTTTAGAAGTAACACTGAGATGAATTCCTGAAGGAAAATGTTTCCACTTAATCCACTATATGATACATAATGATCCTGAAATAAGCGGTTTGAGATTAATTTTCATGATCTGTTCTTACTGTACAAGATTACCGTCTTGTTTCAAAAGTTCAAAAAAAAAAGTCGCTTAAGTTTATTAGTTAACTTTTTCGCGCACGGTTGGTTCAGAAATTCTTTTAGGTGATCGTTCCGCCTGAACTCATCAAATTCGCGAAAAGAAAATCACCTGTTTCGTTTATTCAGTAAAACACCTTCAATTTAGGGAGTTTAAATAAGCCATGGTTGGTTCGAGCGTCGTTTTTTATATTTTTTATCTTGGGTAATTTTTTCTCGTCCTATATAAGACGCTATATCCTGCGATGTCTCATAGTGGAAATGTCATTGGAGGTTATTTATGAAAAAATCACGATAAAGTTTTTTTTCTTAGTAAATCTTTTAACCATGCGCATCCAAGTTTGAAATCATCACACATATTTATAAGAACAACAAATTTCTTCACACATATATATATATCTATCAAAATGTTAAAAATTGTATGGCAAAAACAAAAAAAATCATATATACAATTATGCTGTTTTAATGTTAATTTTGCTCATTCCTCTACGTTTCGGTCAATAAACCATCTTTACATACATTATTCCATAAAGTTTCTTTTTTGGATAAGTCCTTTCAGGATATGGAAAATCGTCTTTCTCATGTTGTATTTCCCTACTTTCTAATTTATTTTGATTCTTTATCATTTATTTTTAGTTCTTGTAACGTCTGCCATTGATCTATATTAATTCTAAAACATAAATATTCTATATTCTATTATTTTTTTAAAATTTTCCATTTATAATTTTTCTTCATACTAGTCGGATCTATATCCATATATTTGAACGATATATATATATATATATATATATATATATAATATATATATATATATATATATATGGAGAAAAATTAATCATCCACAAAACAGTAGGGACGAGTTGCCGGGAATCCCTTCATATATGTGATGAGATTATCCAATTCAATGTTATATAGAAGGACTAATATTACATAACAGTTCAGTACTCTTTTTTTTTTTCTAACGAATTTTTCTGATTGAGACTTTTGCTTTTGGAAAAAGATCTTTCCGCTATCCCAATAAGAAAATTAATGACAAAATAGAAAAAAAATTGTGATATGCGTCATCGAACTTTGATGTAACTAAGCATGCTCAGGAAGGCCTGTCAAGTTTTAAACTTCTAAATTTAATTGTTTTTAAATATATGTTTTGGTAATATAGTTTTTCTTTTTGTTTTAATTACCTTTGTTATTAAGTATCCCACATTGATGATAATAGAATGAGGTTGAAAGAAGGAATAGGATAAAAAATCTACTGGGATGATCTAGAAATAGACAAGAACATTACAAAGAGTCTGTAGGAAATTGAATAAGAGAGAAATGGAAGTAAAAGAAAGGGGGAAATCAAAATTAGTTAGACTCATTACTAAAAACTAATGTGAAATGTTATTTTGGAAAAGACCCTTTTAAATTCATATAATCTTTTAAATAAATTCCTTGAGGTTTTCCTTTATTCCTCAGTCTTTCCTCAGGTGTATTATTTAGAACCCCAAATTCTTCTTAGTCAATAATGAAAGCTTTCTTCTACTCTAGCTATGTTATAATATCATGGACCTAACATGTGAGCAAATGAGTTTTGGAGAAGATGCAAACAAAGAGGAATCTTATAATTAAATTCTTTAAGAGGCAACTAATTTCTGGGACCAGGAATCATGAGGAAGGAATTTCCTGAAAATAAAAGACTCATCAGGGCAAATATAATGCAAAAATGGACAAGGGAAACGAAACAAAACATACTGATAACTTTTGCAAAGAAGGCTAGGTTCTGGGAGAAATAACAAAAAGATAATCATACTGTCAAAAAACGGACTAAATGTTTAACAGTCGTTTCATTTAAAGGACTTATAATCTAAAAGAAAAATATTTTTTTTAAAATAAAATTTTATGTTAATTAAAGTTTTCAAACATAAAGTACCATTTAAAATTAATTTTTCTTTTGTTCATTGGGTTTGCCAAAATGATAAACTCTTCTATTTTTAAATATTTTACGAGCTTTTATACGTTTTATTAATGTTATTAAATGTTTGGGTCAGTCAAATATTATAAAAAGGTACTTCAACTAGAGCCAACGCCTATCAGTTATCGATTAGTCTTGTCTGTCCACCCGTCGAGTATCGAGATTTCAATTCCTCGTCTTTCTGAATATGGTAGAAACCAAAAAACAGAAACAAGCAGCAGTCATAATTCGCCTGTCAACTATGTTTTCCTCCATTTCCTGCCTGTCGTTAAATGCTTGCCTCTGTCGGTTTGGATTCAATGCCGCCAGTCTGCCTGCAATGCTGCAAGCGGATTATTTTTTTCTTGTATAAATTATTACGAGTTGTTAATATATTAATAAAAGGAGAATAAATTGCGGGGCAAAAATTGATTTGATGAAGTTAAAGAAGATATCTCTACGTCAAACCGTATCACTATTCTGACGCAACCAACATCTCTCTCTCCCCAACTCTCTCTCTATTTAGGTATGTCAGTCTGCTATCTATCTATCTATCTATCTATCTATCTATCTATCTATCTATCTATCTATCTCCGTTTGCTAAGGTCTCCCTCTCTCTCTCTCTGTTTAGGTATCTCAGTCTGCCATCTATCTATCTATATCTATCTATCTATCTATCTATCTATCTATCTATCTATCTATCTCCGTTTGCTAAAATCTCTCTCTCTCTCTCTATTTAGGTATCAGTCTGCCATCTATCTATCTATCTATCTATCTATCTATCTATCTATCTATCTATCTATCTATCTCCGTTTGCTAAGGTGTCTCTCTCTCTCTATTTAGGTATCTCAGTCTGCCATCTATCTATCTATCTATCTATCTATCTATCTATCTATCTATCTCCGTTTGCTAAGGTGTGTCTGTCTGTCTGTCTGTTTGTCTGTATGTCTGTCTCTCTCTAATATATATATATATAAAGGCGTTAAAGTGACTAAAATACAAGCAAGTTACACGATGTGGAAGAATTATGAACAGAAACATTAATAATGAGCGGAAAGAAACGAGAATTCAGGAGGACAGTAGATAACGATTGATATTGCATTTAAATTTTTCAGATTAAAATTAGATGGAAAGCATGGAGCCGGAAGGATGTTCCTCAAGCGAGAAGTGCGAGAAAAGAACCTGTCATAAGATCATATATATATATATATTTCAGTCCTGATAAGATCTATCGATCTATCTATCTCCGTCTTCTAATAAAATGTCTCTGTCTATTTACCCCCTCTATCTATCTATCTATCTATCTATCTATCTATCTATCTATCTATCTATCTATCTATCTATCCCTCTCCTTTTACGTTCCTCATTCCATTCTTTCTTTCTTTCTCAATCTTTCTTATCCCTCTCTATTTCTTCATCTTTCTTTTAGTCAAACTGATGATGTGATGCCAAAGAGAGCGTAAGCTTTCTCATATATGTCTTTCATTTTCATTCTACGTTCGGTCTTTCCAGTATTGTTCATATCTATCTATCTATCTATCTATCTATCTATCTATCTATCTATCTATCTATCTATCTATCTCAGTTTGTTCATCTATCTATCTATCTATCTATCTATCTATCTATCTATCTATCTATCTATCTATCTATCTATCTCAGTTTGTTCATCCTATCTATCTATCTATCTATCTATCTATCTATCTATCTATCTATCTATCTCCGTCTTCTGAAAAATTTTTTTTCTGTCGATCTCTGTTTGCTAAGCTTCTATTTAGAATCAGAGAGAAAAGAATGAATTGATAAAGAGAGAAAAGAGAAGGAAAGAAAAAGAGAGAGAGAAGAGATGAAGAGAGAAAAAGAGGAAAAAGAGAAAAGAGAGAGGAGAAGAGAGAAAAGACGAAATATTTTTTTTTTCTTTTCCCCTTCTCTCTGTTAAGTTTCTTGGAGAAAAAAAGAGAGAGATAAAAAGATTAAAAATAGAATATGAAAAGAATTGGAAAGAGAAACAACATATCAGAAAAGACTATTTGTCTCCTTTCAATGAAAGAAAAGAGAGAAAAAAAGAGAGAAAAGAGAGAGAGAAGAGAAAAAGAGAAACAAAAAATGGACTAAGAGAGAAAATCTTTAGAGAAGAGAGAATTCTCTAAATATCAAAGAGACTAAATGACTCAATGAGAGAGAGAAAAGAGAAAAAGCTCAAATACATATATATATATATATAGAGAAGAGAAATTTTAGATATATAGAGAAAAAGAGAGTATTAGAAAGTGAGAGCGTTTTTATGTCAGTGTGTGTGTGTGTGTGTGTGTGTGTGAGAGAAAAGAGTGTGTGTGTGTGTGTGTGTGTGTGTGTGTGTGTGTGAAGAGAGAGAGAGAGAGGGGAAAGAGAGAGAGAGAAAAAAAAAAGGAGAGAGAGAAAAGGAAAAAAAAATAGAGAGAAGGGGAAAGAGAGAGGAGAAGGAGAAGAAATCCAAAAAGAGAGAGAGAGGGAAAAAAAAAGGAGAGAGAAAAGGGAAAAAAAAAGGAGAGAGGTGAAGAGAGAGGGAAAAAAAGAGATTGAGGAAAAACTGAGTGAAGGAAAAAGAGAGAGAGGGAAAATGCACAAAAAAAGAGAGAAGGGAAGAATAAAAAAAGGAGAAGGTGAAGAGACAAAAAAGGAGAAGAGAAGAGAAAAAAGGAAATGTCAAGAGAGAGAAAAAGTCAGAAAGGAATCGGGGTTTCAAAAAAAAGAGAGAAGGTGCCAAAAAAACAGAGAGAGAGAGAGAAAAAAAGGTTGAAAAGGAGAAGGTGAAGAAAAAAAGAAAAGGAGAAGGTGAAGAGAGTAAAAGAAAAGGAAAGAGAAAGAGAGAAAAAAATTCGAGAAAAGAGAAGAAAGGGAAATCAAGAAAGGAGAAAAGCGCGCTGAAGAGAGAGAAAAAAGGAGATGGGAAGAGAGAGAAAAAAAACGAACAGAAGAGTCAAAGAATTGAAAAAAATAGAGAAAGAAAAAATGGTTAAAAAGAGAAATTGAATTGGTCAAAAAAAGGAGAAATGTGAAGAAGCAAAAAAGGACTTGAATAATATGAAAGAGCAAAAAAGGAGAGAGGTCGGAGAGAATTCATGGATGCAAAATTTAGAAAATGAAGAAGAAAAAAAAAAAGGAAAGACTTACAGAACTGTTAAAAAAAAAAGGAGATTATAAGAGAGGAAAAAAGGACGTCCTTGAAGAAGCAAAAGAAAATGCTCACAAAAAAAAAAGGAGATTTCTTTATCGAGTCAGCAAAAAAAAGGAGACACGTCTTAATTTTTAAATGCCAAAAAAAGAGAGAGAAATAGATGAAGAAGAAAAAAAAAAAAGAATATTGCAAGATGAATTCCAAAAAGCCCCTGGAAAGAGACTTGCAAAAAAGAAACAAAAAATCAGCAGAGAGAGAAAAAAAAAGAAGGATCAAAAGAATCAAAAAAAAGGATTGGCGGTAACAAAGCAAAAAAAAAAAAAGAAGTTCAGCAGGTAAAAAAAAGGAGAAGGTGAAGAAGGTGCTGAGAAGGTGAAGAAGCAAAAAAAAGGAGAAGGTGAAGAAGCAAAAAAAAAAGAAGGTGAAGAAGCAAAAAAAATGAGATGGTGAAGAAGCAAAAAAAAAAAGGAGAAGGTGAGAAGAAAAAAGGAGAAGGTGAAGAAAGCAAAAAAAAAGGGTTAAAAATCAACGCAAGAAGGAATCAGGGTTTTCCAAAAAAACCCAAAGCGCGAATTAAAAAACGGAAATAAAAGCAAAAAAA